GTGTCAGAATTCCAGCCAACGGAACTGTCCAGAAACAAATTAGTGTTGTTGTAAGCCACCAAAGTTGTAATAATTTATGCTAGCGTCATAGAAAACAAAGAGCAGCATCATTGAATCAACACCCAATGTGTGTTAACTGTGGTGAAGGACCCCGGGATGCCTATGGGTAAGAAGCCCTTATCTTGAATCATTCTTTGTGCAGGACTGAGTGACAGACTCTCTAAGAAGTCATGGGAAAAAGGCCACTATACCTCAACTCATTGAGCTTCACATTGTTTGGGTAGAGACAAACTTCCAAGTTCTAGTCCATTGTAGAGATTAAAAGCTAATATCATCTGGGCCAAATTCAGCTGTCAGACTCTTTTACTTGCATGGATTGTTTTTTTAGTTGAATTGGTAGCCAAGATTTAAAAATTTATCCCAACCATCAAGATTTCTGACTTTTCTTGGAAAAAAAAAAAATAGAAAATCTTACCGTACTTGCATTTTCAGGATAAAAGAGTAGTGAATGTCCCTCTAGAAAAAGAATGCTCTCTCTGATAGTCACTGTCCCCACTACTGTACTGTCTCACATCCCCTCCAACTGTCCTATGTGGTCCTCTGGGCACCTGAGTTTGCAATTCCTGGTACACTGCTTATATACAGTTTCAATACTGGCTTAATTAGGGTAAGGTACTAAAGGCAATCTGGTTAGTTGCAATGTTTCATCCTGTGTGATTGCAAAGAGTGCCTTCATCAATTTCAGAAAAAAAAAAAAGAACTTAGAGATGAAATTGTTTGACCCATTGCCCCATCCTTCCAAATTCTTAACCTACGCAGCACCAAGAAATACTGGCTTGGGTGCCTGATAGGGAATTTCCAGGCCTGCTTAATGACTCCAATTCTGATCAGCTAAATCTTTTACTCCCTTGCGAATATATCCAAATCTGACTTCAGCGGATAAGGAGAGAATTTTTAGAGGGATAGAAATCAAGCTGGAATACTTTCAATGTGGTACACAATGTGCTCAAACAAAAAGTCAGATGATCTGACAGCGTCTTCATATGTACAGGGCTTAGAGAAATCCTTGTTCCCTTTCATTAGATTAACAGCATGTACGTTCTGACATCAGCTGCAACATAAGCTGGTATTGCAAAATGTGCTTTGGAATCCTGACGCATTAATTGTTATGTTTGGCTTTATTACCGACATATCTTTTTACTCATATCTGAATGCCGACGGTTATGGGCCAACATTTTTGGAAAAACGATACCTTGCGAGCTCACACTTGAAGTGGCTCTGAACAGTGAGGGGAGGTCATAGATACGGGAATAAGAGAGGAAAGTCGGCTCACAAAAGGGTCAATGTCCTGAGCGGCTAAGCAGGAATGCACCTTTTCCGTGACAGCCTGTGCGTCTTCAGAACACAATGCAGTGAATAATCAGCCATAGACGGGCAAGGGGGAGGCCTGGCCGGGCTTTTGACACGGCCCTCTGTAGGCGTGATGGATGTGGAGAAACTCAACCCTTCCCAGGGGGGTCAGGTGGCACCATCAAAACAAAGAGTACAAACAGTTCGGTCCTAGAAAAGAACTCCCCCCCACTCTAACCCCCCTTTCTTTCTGCTATTTGTGCCAAAAAGTTACAGTATCCAGCCATTCCTGATTAAGTTGGAAATCTATGCAAGAAAAGAAAAATGAAGCCAATGTGAAAATCCACTGGGTAGAACCACATATTTAAATTGTGCAAAATTTCTACAGAAATAAATAAATAAATAAAATGGCATTGATTTCCAAGGCTGGGAAAAAAAAATTCACTTTCCGGATTAGAGCGCGAGACACCATCCAAATTGGCAAAAACAAACAGAAAACAAAACAAAACAAAAAACAACCCCCAAAAAACAAGTTCTCCCAAATCTTTCCTTTGGAGGCTGTGAATAAAAACAAACCAGAGGAGGACGGTTCTTCCTCTGACTGTGGGGCCAGCCTGAGAAGATGGAGACAAGAAACAGAGTGTGTGTGTGCCTGCTGTCCCAACTAGAAAACCTGTGAAACATACTTTTGTTCTGCCCTTTCATTGTTTTCTTCTCTTTTTACATCTCTGAGCAATGGTTCTAGTTGGATTTGGATTTATTTGAACTTTTGGAAAAATATACACCACGACTTCTACCCCTCCTTCCCCCCTAAATCTAGGCTTCTAGGAATTTTAGAAATATCTATAAATTTGCTTAATTGCCAGCCAGTTTCTCCATTTCTAGGCAACTGGCTTCCCTTAGCTGTAATGTCAGAATGTGACCTATGGCATCAGGGTCTCATTTATCGGATGACTACCAAATGTTAAGGATGCCATCAGCCCGCTTTGCATGACTCTACAACTGGGCATGAGATACCTGGCCTTGGAGCAGGTATCTAAACAGTTTTTCAGTCCTGATCCAAGTGGGTGGAAGAGAGCCAGTTGAGAAGGGAGCTCCTGGGTAGATGTGACAGTAAACAGCACCTGCTGTGTATCAGGCAATGGGCTGAGCTCTACCTTACGCTATGCCCACAGGCATTCAAAGGGTCAATTTTGTCAGTCTTGCTTTTACCAATGAAGTTCATGGAGAAATTTAATAGCTTGACAATCTTAAGCCAGTACATGGCAAAGCTGGCATTGCAAACCAAGACTGCCTGCCTCTGAAGCTTTCCTTATCCACAGAGCCCCATTCTTACCCCCAACAGAAACTTCTAGAAAGATACTTTGATGTTTGGTCTTTTCAACTTCTTATCTCTCATCTAATCCCTCATCACAGAGAACTCCCGCAGAGAGAATTACATATGGCAGCAAGAGCTTTACAGAAGTAATTATTAACACACCTCAGCTCAAAATTGATTTCCACTCTTGGACCCAGACTCTATCTCAGAGGCAGGCTGTCAGGATAGAAAATGAGAGTCCCATATAATTTAGGCCATTTAGATCACTCTGCTGGCCCCCAGCCACCCACAGCCACCAAGGTGTTCATGCGGCTTTAAACAAATGACTGGTTTTAAATAAGTAAGAATTTGGATTGTGACGGCTTCATGGGAAAATGTCAGAAGCAGAGTTGTTTCTAAGGGACCAGTTCAATGGGCAGCAGGACAATGAATCCTATCTGAAAACACAGCATCAGGCAATATCAGGAACACAAGGATTCCTGGGCGGCCATCTACTATCTACCTTCCTTCTCCTAGCAATCCCTTAGCTCGATTTTGGACTTTCGCGCTCATGGTGTAAATTTTGATTCCAGATACCCATTTTGTGTGCTTACACAAAAGGACAGGGCAATGGCATGCAAAGATCATGGGCTGTGAAATAAGAATACCTGCTTTTCAATCACTGTACCACATTAACCAACTGTGTGACCTTCGGCTACTTATCTAACTTCTCTGGGCCCTTCTTTGTAAAATCTATTGTTCTGAGTCTGGAAGCAGTGTAAATAACATACTACCTGGCTTATAGTAGACGGCTAGGTAAAACATAATCATATTGAGATAACGTAAATAAAATACGACCTGGCTTGTAGTAGACAGCTAAGTAAAACTTTTCCTTTTCTCTTCACTCTTCTACTCATTTGCTTCTTCAGGAATGCCCTAATTCCAGGGGGTTCCCTTCTTTTTTTGCAAGGCTTATATATTTTAAGAACTGCTTAATTTGGTGGTGGCATTGATGATTGAAATCTTGTATTTTATTCATGAGCTGTGTACTGCTGAAGCTATTGTTTAACTTCTCTGAGCCTCTATGTTCTTATCTATAAGTTCTTGATAATAATTGTAATGTAGTTCATTTCCAACCAAACAGGCATTTAATACCTTCTTCTCTGCACAAAGGACCTAGATTTTGGGTCCATGTGGCCAGCAGAGGTGTCTCAACATGAAGGAAGACCCAGACCCAGTGGACAAATTCTGGTTGATCTAATGTAATGATACTAGCTCCATTCTTCTTTACCAATGAGTGCTCTAGGGTGAGTATAAATGATAACCACTTTTAGCCAAAGAAAAAAAAATGGAAGTTTTAAGATGGAGCCCCAAGAGAAAAAAACCTTTTGTCCATTACTTTCCACTTGGTTGTTGATGGTGGATGTAATGCCTAGAGAACTGGCAGCCATCTTGACCCTATGAGGTGACAACACAAGGATGAATACAAATATGCTAATAATGATGGAAGGAATGGTGGGAAAAAGCCAATATTGTAATATAATATAATATTGTAAAATTAATTATCTTGAAGATGTTGTAATTCAGACATAAAGAAATAGTAAAAACCAAATAGTTCTCATTACTAAAGACTGAATGGTTTTTCTTAAGGCTTTCCAAGTGATTCCATTCTCTCCTGTTGGCTGTGAGCCTATTTGACTTATCTTTTTGGCCTGAGCTGAATGTCAAATCTGTCAGTGTCACTGATTGGATAAACAACTTGCAGGGAAAGGAGGTTGTAACTGAGTCATTTGTTGATTATTTGAGGATTATAAGTTGTCTAGAAAGTAGAAAAAAGACTGAAAACACTAGCTATGAGCAAAAGGAGTTCACTCGGTCCTCAATTAGGTGCTGGGAAAACAAGGTCAAATAAGTTAGTGCCCTGTCATTACAGGGCTTAGCAACAACTCAATAGAGAAAGGTATGCCACAACTCAGAAGAGAAAGATATGTGAACAAGTCCAATCGTCCCTCAGTGTCCACTGGGGATTGATGTCAGGACCTCCTGTGGGTACTAAAATCTGTGGATTCTCAAGTCCTTTATATTAAATGGCGTAGTATTTGCATATAACTTATGCACATCCTCCCTTATACTCTAAGTCATCTAACACAATGTAAATGCTATGTAAATAGTTGTTATACTGTATTGTTTAAGGGACAATAACAAGAAAAAGTCTGTACATTTTTAACACAGATGAAATTTTTTTCCAAATATTTTTTATCCGAGGTTTCTTGAATCTACATATGTGGAACCCACGAATGGGAGTGGGGGGAGGGGGCAACTGTATACACCAAAAGCTATTGTAATTGCCAAAATAGTGATAACAATGACGAAACACTACTGGGATTACTACTGTTAATGACTACCAGTGATCAAGCACCTCCCCCGCCCCAGGTACCATCCTAAGTGCTTCGTAAATACCGTCTCTTATGATATTTATAACAATTCTTTGTGGTCAGTCCAATTGTCATGCCTGCATTAGAGGTGAGCCTCCGAGACCCAAATGCACACAGCTAGTTAATGGAGTAGCTAGAATTCACATCTAGGTCTTTCTAACTGCAAAGCTCATAATCCTGACAACCAAGCCATGGTAGAGATTCCAGCAGAGTAAAGTGGAGCTTGTAAAGGAGGAAGGAGTTAATTTTGCTGGGGATACCAGGGCAGGGAGTGGAAGTTAGGCATGGGAGAAGTAGGAGGAAGAGTAAGGAAGGTCTTTAAATGAGATGACCCTCCGTGGAAGCTCAACTTCCTGGAGAAAAACTTCTCAGAAGAAAATGTACGATGTGCAGTTCTTTAGCATATTATCTAATATGAAGATGTGGGGAGGCTAGAGGCAGAATGGTATCTGAATTGGCCCAGTGGCCCCTCTCCCTGCCCCTGCCAGGAAAACTGCAAGTTCCAATGCAACTGGGACATCAGGAACCTGGGAAAATTAGTAGAGCTGTTTATTTTGCCAAAGTACATACTTGAAATCTCATGCATAAAAAGTTTTCTATGAATACAAAATATTGTGATTGTCTACATTAGACCAAGGAAACATTATATTCAAAGAGAAGGAGAGAAGTTTGAACATATTTATTTAGCATATGAAAGTGGGTGTTCGTGCCAAAAATAATTCAATATGGTAGAAACCTACTTAGGCAGTGTCTAAACTAACACAGCAGAACATGTGATGTGAAGATTTGGTGGCTGTAATTCATGCCAACCAGATCCCCCACAACCTGATTTGGTCTGTGAGACCCTCCTCATCCAGCCTCTGCCTTGTTTTGTGGCCTTAGGCTCAGTAGTCTAACTTTTAGCACTCCACTTGCGTTATTGGGTTTTGCTATAGAGTTCTAACAACTAAGTATTTTAACCAAGCTAAGGCCTGGACAACATTGAAATATAAGAGGTAAAATAAGATTTTGCTGACTTTTGAATTATTCAAATATTAAATATTAATATTATCAATCTTTAATTACTTGAATCATATTACTTTGTGAAGATTCTGTTTCTAGTAAATAAGGCCTTGAATTTAATACTTCTTTGAACTTTTTGAAAGTGTATACCAATTTTTTTGAAATGTATACTTGTTTTTTAAAAACAGTATTTGCCTGCCTTGTTTGAAGACCTGAAAAATGTACACAAAATGATTTAGAACTGTTGGGCTTTTCAGAAAATAATTTAAAATCATCTACCTCATAACTAAAGGTATGTTTTGTTTTTAATTACAAATCAATTTCAGCAAGTTTTAAAGCTGATAATATCTCATGCTGTTTTGGGTATACCAAGTACAGTAATTAGTACTGTACTTAATTAAAACAATAAGTAATTCTTATTTTAATGAGGGCAAACTGAAGTGACCTTTTTTCAGTGGCAAGAAAACTCCCAACTCTCAGCATAGCCACATTCATCTTCTTTTTGTTCCACAAATTAGCCAAGCTAATTTCATTCCTCAAGTCTCTGCACTTACTCTTTTTTCTTTTTCCTATGTTCTTCCCAGAAATACTTGCTTGGTTGGGTACTTTACGTCTTTTATATTTCATTAAGGTCAAATGTCAAATGTTCCTAGTTCAGAAAATGTGTCCCTCACTACCCCCCACCAACTCACCCAGTTATGCAGACCAAAAGCCTGGAAAGTATTTACCAATTTTCCCAGTCCCCCCATATCCCATGTATCAGTCTGTCCTATTGATTCTATGTCTAAGTTCCATCTGGAATTTGACCGTTTCCTGTCATTTCTATTGCTAAAACTCTAGTCTAAGACACCATGCTGTTTCATCTGTATTAGCACAACCACCTTTTCTCATCGTAACTTAGCTTGTCATACCTAATACAGAAACTGGTACCTTGAAAGGGGATGTTGCTAGGATACAAACTTAATACGTTTACTTTTTTGAGGAACGCCAAACTGTTCCAAAGTGCCTGAACCATTCTGCATTCCAACCAGCAATATATGAGGATTTTAGTTTCTCCACATCTTCATCAACACTTGTTATTTTCCCTTTTTGTTAATAGCTATCCTAGAGAGTGTGAAGGGGTACCTCATTGTGGTTTTGATTTGTATTTCTTTAATGACTACTGATGTTGAGCATCTTTTCAAGTGCTTGTTGGCTGCTTGTATAGCTTATTTGAAGAAGTGTCTCTTCAAGTCATTTGCCATTTTAAAAACTGGTTTTTTGTTTTGTTTTGTTTTTGCTGTTGAGTTGTAAGAGTTCTGTATATATTTTGGATACTAGACCCTTATCAGATCATAATTTGCAAATATTTTCTCCCATTCTGTAGGTTGTCTTTTCACTTTCTTGACAATGTCCTTTGATGAACAGAAGTTTTTGTTTTTTATTAAGTCCCTTTATTCATCTTCTGTTTTTGCTTGCGCTTTTGGTGTCATATCTAAGAATCATTGTTAAATCCAAGATCCCTATGTTTTATTCTAAGAATGTGAAAATGGAGACTCATAGCAGTACTATTAACAAAACTCAAAGGGTAAAAACAGCCCAATTGTCCATCAATGAATGGATGAATAAATAAAATGTGGTTATGCATACGATGGAATATTATTCAATCATAAAAATAATGTTATACTGATGTGTGCTACAATATGACAAACCTTGAAAACATTCTGCTAAGTAAAGGAAGCCAGACACAAAAGTATGGCATAATTCCATTTACATGAAATGTCCAGAACAAGTAAATCCACAGAAATAGAATTCAGATTGATGGTTACCAAGGGCTGGGAGAAAGGAGAATAGGACAATTGCTTAATGGCGTAGGGTTTCCTTTTGGGGTGATGACATGTTTTAGAATTAGATAGAAGTGGTGGTTGCACAATATTGTGAATGTACTAAATGCCACTGAATTGGTCACTGTAAGATGGTTAATTTTACATTATGTGAGTTTCACTTGAAAAAAACAAATTGTAAAGAACAAAGTAGAATCACTTCATTTCCTCTCTGAAAGGTAATACATTTACTATAATTTTATTTCTGCGCTTTCTACATTTCTTTCCAGTTTTTTATATATTAGAATTTTAGATACACATTAATTTTTATAGTATATGTCTTCTATTTTAAGACTTATTGTTGATATTTGCATTATGCTTAATATTCACATTAACAATAATTATTTAGACTTATTTGTAGTTTTCTGATTTCATTGTTCATCTTTGATGAAAATACTATGCCTTCCTCATTCTCGAATATGTTATAGTATTTCTTTGAACAATTTTTTTCGTTTTTCTGTTTTGTTTTGTTTCTTTGAGACAGAGTCTCACTCTGACACCCAGACTGGAGTACAATGGCATGATCTTGGCTCACTGAAACTTCTGCCTCCCAGGTTCAACCGATTCTCCTGCCTCAGTCTCCCAAGTAGCTGGGATTATAGGCACGCACCACCATACCTGGCAAATTTTTGTATTTTTAGTAGACAAGGTTTCACCATGTTGGCCAGGCTAGTCTCGAACTCCTTACCTCAAGTGATCCGCTCATGTTGGACTCCCAAAGTGCTGAGATTAGATTACAGGTGTGAGTCACCACGCCTGGCCCTTTGAGCAATGTTTGAAAGAAGAGTATATATGTGAAACTCTATTTGAAGACTTTAATTTCTGAGGATGACTTTCAGTTGCTTTCACTTGACTGTTTTATTAGATATAAAACTCTTAGGACACCCAGAAAGATGGAGTGGATGTACTTTTCCCTGTTCTTCATGTCAGAAAACCAAAATCAAACAAACAAAACCTAAAATATCAAGAGACAGAATACTTTAATGAAATATTTTTAAAAATAAAAATTATGCAAAAATCTATGATGGACAACATGTAAAAATTTGAAATAGAGTTTGACAAGGCAAGATTAGAGGGAAGTGAGTCATACAAGTGCAACATCAGATCTCCCCAATTTAAAATTTTACTCTTTGGGTGTTCACTAAAATTTTGCACCTCAGAACCTCATTCACCTCACTTTAGTCCTGCTTAGAGGACATTTTTTATGCTCAAAACTCCCTAGGTTTTGCTCTGATGTAATGGCTATCAAATTTGGCTTCACACTAGAATCTAAATGTTATTAGATAAATCTAATATCCACACTCTTTCCTCAGACAAGTTAAGCCAGACTCACCATTAATGAAGCAGGATTTTAAAAAGCTTTCTAGGAGATTCTAATGTGCAGTTGGGGTTGTAAACTGCAATCTTATTTTTTCATTCCTATAGAGTTCAGTGATAAGGACCATTGATCATCTACTCAGAATGTATCAGTTCAGCTCTTGGCTTTGTGCCCTTGAGTAAGTTATTTAGCATGTCTGATACTTAAATTCCCATTTCATGGCATTGTCCTGAATATTCAAGGAAAAAGCACACGCAAACCCTAAGCACAGTGCCTGGATCTTAGAAACGATAAATGCTGACCATTAAGATATTGCTGGTGCTGGCCGGGTGCGGTGGCTCAAGTCTGTAATCCCAGCACTTTGGGAGGCTGAGGTGGGCAGATCATTTGAGGTCAGGAGTTCAAGACCAGCCTGACCAACGTGGTGAAACCCAGTCTCTACTAAAAATACAAAAAAATTAGCCGGGCATAGTGGCACATGCCTTTAGTCCCAGCAACTTGGGAGGCTGAGGCAGGAGAATTGCTTGAACCCAGGAGGTGGAGGTTGCAGTGAGCTGAGAGCGTGGCACTAAACTCCAGCCTGGGAGACAGAGCAAGACTCCGTCTCAAAAAAAAAAAAAAAAAAAAAAAAAAAAAAGAAAAGAAAAGAAAAAAAAAAAGATATTGCTGGTGCTGAAGATGGAAACAGGAAAAAGCAGTAGCTATGATTTAGTATTGTAGAGGAGAATCTTTTGCCAGTATGAAATATTTTGCCATATCCTCTCAAAAATATAAATGTTTCCAAAGGATTTGTCTCCATGTCTGTCTTTGTTTATTTATTTTGCCTCATATCCAGTGAGCCTATTTGCTTTAACAACACAAGTGCTTTAGTTCAAGTTTGTCCAACCTGCGGCCCACAGAACAGCTTCGAATGTTGCCCATCACGAATGATTTTTTGGCATTTTGTAAAAACTTCATCAGCCATCATCAGTATTAGTGTATTTTATGTATGGCCCAAGACAATTCTTCTTCCAGTATGGCCCAGGGAAGCCAAAAGATTGGACACCCCTGCTTGAAAAAAGTTCAATACACTTTTTTTTTCTATTATATCTATTAATCAAAAGATTACCTTCTCACTCTCTGTTTTGTTTTCTCCTTCTGGTAATATCTATAGCTCTTGTTCTCACTAAATCTGTAATCTTTTTTCTTCTAATTTCTTGGAGAAGGTTTTTAATTTTGTCTTTTTGATATAAAAATACATATGCACAGTTTCACAAGTCGAGAGCTATAAGCTTTTGAAAAAAATGGCAGTATCTCATATATTACTTGTATTTATTCTAGAAGTCACTTTAAAGTATTATCTTTTCTTCTGGCATTACCTTTTAAATAACATGTTTTGAAATAGAAATTTTCATGATTTTTTATTTTTTGAATATGTAACACATTAACTTTGTTCAAAAGTTAAATAAATACAAATTTCTAGATTCTTCGTATTGACCTTAGTAATAATTTCCTGGATATGACACCAAAAGCACAGGCAACAAAAGCAAAAATAAACAAATGGGACTACATCAACCTAAAAAGCTGCTGCACAGCAAAGGAAACAACAAAACGAAGAGGCAACCTATGGAACAGGAGAAAATGTTTGCAAATCATACATTTGCAAATTAATTTAAAGTTAATATCTGATTTAAAGTTAATATCTGAAATATACGAGTTTGTTCTACAACTCAACGGCAGAAAAACAATCGGACTTTTAAAATGGGCAGAGGACCTGAATAGACACTTCTTAAAAAAACATAAATAATCATAAACAGGTATATGAAAAAGTACTCAATATCATTAATTATAAGAGAAATGCAAATTAAAACTACAATGAAGTAATACTTCACACCTTTTAGGATGGCTATTACAAAACAATAGAAAATAAGTGTTGAGTAGGATGCAGGGAAAAGGCAACCCTTATACACCTTTTTCTGGAAATATAAATTGGTATAGCCACTACGGAAAACAGTATAGCAGTTCCTCCAAAACTTAAAAAAAGAATTACCAGATGATCCAGCAATCCCACTTCTTGGTAAATACTCTGCAAAACAGAAACCAAATTCTCAAAGAGCTATCTACACACTCACATTCATTATGGCATTATTTACAATAGCAAAGACACAGAAACAACTTAAATGTCCATGAAACAGTTAAATGGACAAAGAAAATGTGATACATACATACAGTGGAATATTATTCAGCCTTAAAAAGGTGGGGGGAGTGATTTAATGCTAAAAGAGAAGGAAATCCTGTCATTTGTCACAACATGGATGAAGCTGAGAGACATTATGTTAAACAAAATAAGCCAGACACCGAAGAACAAATATTCTATGATCCCACTAACATCAGTCATTTAAAATAGTAAACTTATAGCAGAGATCAGACATATAAGGTTCTTTTACACCAGCTTCTTTTTTGGGCGGAAGTTTCTCTCCCATTCCACTCCCATCTGCCCATTACCACTGTTACTACCAACAAGGTTTAATTATCTTTATTGTATTTTGTGTACCTTCCACAGTTTTTTTTTCATGCCAGTAAAAGCAAATATAACATGTATTTTTCTTTTTCTGAAAGTTAACTTGGGCATCACTGTTTCTTTTTGCTGCAGTATGTTCTCAGCCTCTCCCTGCCATTACTAGGGTTTCAAATTACACAATTATATTCTTATCTCAAGTTGCATTTCCCTCTCGTCTGACTGCTTATTTAATAGTTTTCTAAATCCTATCAAGAATATTAATTCCAGACTTTCTTAAGTTTATTTCCAGGTATATTTCACATAATAATTCTGTTTCTTGAGAGGATATTGTTTCTGATTCCTTAAAACCTTTAGAAGACATTTTTAATTTCTGTGCCTGGCACTTTGTGTCCATTTGCTCATTCCTGCAGAAAGAAAATTTTGTATTTTACCTTTTTGGAAAACTAAGAAATATTTTTAAGGCATTGAGGGGTGTAGGTAAAGAGAGAAGGGAAAGATTAGATTTTCTGCAATTTTATTTCACTAACACAAAATTTCAGAAAATAGAAAGAAATAAGGAAGGAGTCAGAGCTAGAGGCAGTGTCACCTGGGTTCCAAAGAGTTCCCTCTTCCTGTTTGTCACTGGTTTCTCAGCTGGTTCTGAGACTCCCATCTCCCCTTGGCTTAACTGCCTCTTCATATTCCCTGGTTATTGTCTGATCCTACTTTCAAACATCAGGATAAGTGGGAGTGAGTGTGTCCATGGGATCCTCACTCCAAGTGACCTTCAGTGCCTGCTAGGATCAAACTTTTCCTACAAATGCTGTGTTATGGACTGACCTTAGCTCTGGCGCTTAGAAATTGGTGAGATTCTGCCGAGAAAATGGCACCTTCTCATGCAGTGAATTGTGATTGGCAGAGTTTTTCCTCAATCTGCCCCGTTTTCAGACGTCTCACAGAAATTCCTCAAGATTTTTAATATACATATGACATTCTTAAATAGCCCCTTGCACAGGTATTTCTTGTTTGTTTTTGTTCTGGTGTGGCAGTTCAAAGGGGATCTGAAAGTGAAGGATAGATGTGTGCTTTCCACACTTGTCACTTAGAACCCATAGTGACTTTCTTAGTTTTCCTCTATCTAGATGTGTATTATTTAGTCACAAATATATAAGGTGAACATTTAAGCTTCCATGTTGGCATCATGGAAGGCAGCTTTGATCTCCCACAGAAAGTCCCCTGATAGCCACACTGCTGGTGAAGTTTGAGGATGGGCTTAATGCTACATATAACTTTTGACTCTATTACGCATATTCATAGATGGGGAAGTTTAATTTATTTCTCACATGCTTAAGAAGTTTTGTTATTATCCATTAATTTTTCCCCTCTTCCCTCTGTATAATCACTTCATCATCACTTCCCAATTTATCACATCTCTCACTTAATTCGCAAACATTTTTATTCATTCATTTATTCATTCCCTGAGTGTTTATTGAGTACAGGGAATAGCATTAGAGGTGAAAAGTGAGCCAATTTTCCATATCCTCAGGGATCCCACAGGTTTAATCTCAGATGTTAGGAAGATGTTGCAGCTGGAGAATCTTACGGAAATAAGGGGAGAGGAAGACAAGGAGGATGACAGTGTGCACGTCTCTAGCATCTGTACTTTATCTGTGCAATCTTGTTTTACACTGATGGCATGGTGATGATAGTGATAGTTATTTCTAAATGTTGGTTATTTAACACAGGTTTTGTGCTAAATTTAATATCCATTAACTTACATAATTTTACGATTACCTGATGAAATATTCCTTGTCATATTCCAATTTTACAGGTGAAGGAAATGAAGTAGAAGGGTGTTACATACCTTGTTCAAAGTGACATAGCCAAGTCTGCTTGGACTGTGGTTCAGGCCATGCAGCCTGACTCTAGAACCCATGCTTTGCTACCTGACTCTCCAGACGTAGGAGGCAAATACCATAATTGGCTCCGTTTTGAGAGGTGTAGGAATTGAGGCCGAGAAAAAATAAGTAACTTGTCCAAAATATGTAGTGAAATTGGTACTTGAACTTTTGTCTGTCTTTTGACTACACTACCACGTCTAAATGCTCAAATGCTCAAATTCTAAATGCTCACATTCAGATCATTTTAGATTTATGGACTAGAAACAGCCTTGGAGATTATGTTATTAAATAATTCCTCATTTTACAGATAATCTGTAATCACTAAAATCGTTTACTTAAAGAAATCAGGAGCAGGTTCTATACAGCAAAGCAACTTAACATACTAAGGAAAATTATTGTTTGAAATATTTTTTCTATTTTTTTTTTTTTTGAGATGGAGTTTCGCTTTTGTCACCCAGGCTAGAGTGCAGTGACACGATCTCAGCTCACTGCAAGCTCTGCCTCCTGGGTTCAAGCGATACTCCTGCCTCAGCCTCCCCAGTAGCGGGGATTACAGGCGCTTGCCACCATGCTCAGCTAATTTTTGTATTTTTGGTAGAGATAGAGTTTCACCATGTTGGCCAGGCTGGTCTCGAACTCCTGACCTCAGGTGATGCGCCTGCCTCGGCCTCCCAAAGTGCTGGGATTACAGGCATAAGCCACCACACCCGGCTGAAATATTACTTCTATTTAGTATTTAAGAAAACAAGATGCGGAATCCAATTCTTGATGGCAACACAGCTCTTGCTAGTAACTTAAATGCCTCATTGTTTCTCTGCAACAAGAGGAAACCTTGGGAAAGGATTAGGCACTGAGACCATCATAAGGAATTGCAAGACCCAGAGATTTTCATGAGGGTGAAAATGCTCATAGGAAAGCAAAGCAAATTGTCGTAAGAGTGGCATCCAGTGGACCGTCCTCTGAAAAGTGACCTGCAATTCTGCATGACTCTTTCCAGGATACTGAATTGGAGCCAGCTAATGTATGGAGCTTACCTTGGTTGTCACCTTCTGGTCTTTGTTTGAGGACCAACTGCATGTGATTACAGGTAACAGATACAGATGTAATTTGTTGAATGAATAGCAATTGACTTGAAAATTGGATGGATGGATGGATTGCGTTTCTTTACTCTCTCTCTCTTTTCTTTCTCCCTCTCAATAGTGCTAGATTAAACCATATTTAGTCTAGTCAAATCAGTGCTTGCTGTTTTTAAGAAGGATATTCTTGAGGTATAGTACTTCAGGGATGCTAATTCGGATTTGAACAGGATGAAATTTCTACCCAGACATGCGCATCGTATAATTGGGATGACAAAAAAATGGTTCCAAATGAGGGTGTGTTTGCATTCCTAGGCATTTTCCTATAGAGGCCAAAAAGATGCAAAATCTTCTTTTCTAAAGCTCTTGGTCGTTCTCAAGCTTGTCTGCACAATGGAATCACCTGGAGAGTTTGGAAAACCAAAAATACTGATGCCACAGATTCTACCCAACAGATTCTATTTTAATTGGTATGGAGTATGGCCTGAGTACTGATATTTTTTAAAGCGTCTGAGGCGATCCTAATGTGCAGCAAAGCACCGTCAAGCCCCCTCTCTCTGAGGAGGCACCAGCTGCAAGCATGTTTTACACCAATATGTTTGCGGAATATAAACATCCCAGTGCAAACTTTTGCACCCAAGAACTCTGGGCTGCTATGGACCGTCTTTGGCAAAGTCTGAATTTATAAACTGATAATACATATAATTCCATAGGCTCCATATGGTTCGTGTTATCCTGAGGGGAACTATACACATTTGCCTTGCCTCAGGATGGAAAGATAAATAACAGATGTGGACAATTTTTATCATACTTGTGCTGAACAATAATAAAAAAATGAAATGAAGGGAGCAGAGAGAGAAGTAAAACTCATGAAAACAAAGCTCAAATCAATTATTCTATGTTATATCTTTGCATTTTTAAGAATGCAGTAGTACACAAGAAAAAAACCTGTCATACAGTTCTCCATTTCCAAGGGAGACTATCTCTAGAGTGATGAGACATAATATTAAAATTGTATATTAATAAAGTTAATCAATTTGTTGATAATAGTGACAAAAACTAAAATCTACATATAGCTTACTGTGTACCAGACACTGTTGTAAGCACTACACAAGTATTAACTTACTTAACCCTCATTATAATCCTGAGACAAATACTATTATTACCCTTATTTTATAGATGAAGAAACTGAGACCCCCAAGAATTTAAGTAATTTGTTCAAGGCAACACATTGCTATGTGGTAGAACTACAAATTGAGCCCAAATAATCCCGCTTCAGATCCTACGCAAAGGTATCCCAGGTGTGGGGATGACAACCTGGTGACAATCCCTTCTCAGAAGGAAGACAGGTCCCATCTACAGAGGTGAAGCAAAGTTTTTTAGGTGGAACTAAAAAACTCAATGGAAGAATGGCTATTAAGATTTAGGATGGCCGGGCACAGTGGCTCAAGCCTGTAATCCCAGCACTTTGGGAGGCCGAGATGGGTGGATCACGAGGTCAGGAGATTGAGACCATCCTGGCTAACACGGTGAAACCCCGTCTCTACTAAAAAATACAAAAAAAAAAAAAAAATTAGCTGGGCGTAGTGGCGGGCGCCTGTAGTCCCAGCTACTCGGGAGGCTGAGGCGGGAGAATGGCGTGAACCCGGGAGGCGGAGCTTGCAGTGAGCCAAGATGGCACCACTGCACTCTAGCCTGGATGACAGAGGGAGGCTCTATCACACACACACACAAAAAAGTGAATGCACATGAATGTGTGTAATGTGTGTATATACTCCTTAAATAATAATTATTGAACACCCATAAATTCATTACTAATATGTTGGATCAAGGGTTGGCAGATTTATGGGCCTCAGGCCACATCCAGCCCATGGCCTGTTTTTGTAAATAAAACTTTACTTTGACTCAACCATGGCCATTTATTTACATATTATCTATCTTGTTTTTTTGTTACAACAGTAAAATTGAGTAGTTCCAACAGAGACCGCATGGCCCACAAAGCCAAAAACAGATACTGCCTGGCCCTTTACAGAAAGCATTTGCAGACTTCTGCCCTAGATACCTCTTCTCCATCCCATTCCCTCTTCCATCGCCAGGGGCAGCCACTCCCCTATATTCTGTACCAATCTTTCTTTTTAAGAAAATTAATTGTTTCATTTCACAGATTTGACTCTAATATAAATAAAATTATGGGCAATTTGTTCTTTATGTTTTTGAGATTCATCCATTTGATGTATATGGCTGAAGTTCATTGGCTTTTATTGCTGTTTGATAGTCTATTACATGAGACTATCTCTGTTCATTCCGTCTATTGTTTGATGGTTATTTTTGCTGTTTCTAGTTTTCTGCTATTTTGAATAAAGCTATGGAAACATTCTTAGTATGACCTCTGGTGAACATGTACACAATATTCACTAGTATACTTACTGGAATTGCTGAGTGAAAGAGGATGTGCATATTTATATACCCAATGTGAATGCCCTATCTGAACTATTTTCCAAGTGGTTGAACCAAAGTATATTCTCACCTGCATTGTATAAGGGTTTCTCTAACTCTATAACCTCACCAACACTTGCTGTCTGACTTTCTAAATGTTTGCCAATCTGGGATGTGAGAAATGATATCTCATTAGATTTTAGTGTTTGTTTCCCTTAGGAATATAATCTGCCACTTTCTGTGTATGAGCCACTCATGTTTCTTTTTCTGTGAAATAGCTCCTTATATCTTTTCCCATTTCTCTGTTTTTGCCTGTTACTAATTTACGTAAATTTGTTTTACATTCTGGATATAAGAGTGCTGTCAATAATCTGTATGATGCATGTCCTTTTCCAGTTTTGACTTCTGTTGCCATTTTCTTGTGGTCATGTTTTGATTGACAGACTTTTAAAAATATATGTAATCTATAAACTAAAGAGCTTCTGTACAGCCAAAGAAACTATCATCAGAGTGAACAGGCAACCTACAGAATGGGAGAAAATTTTTGCAATCTATCCACCTGACAAAGGGCTAATATCCAGAATCTACAAACAACTTAAACAAATTTACAAGAAAAATACAAACAACCCCATCAAAAATTGGGCGAAGGATATGAACAGACACTTCTCAAAAGAAGAAATATATGCAGCTAACAGACATATGAAAAAAAAAGCTCATCATCACTGGTCATTAGAGAAATGCAAATCAAACCACAATGAGATATCATCTCACATCACTTAGAATGGCAATCATTAAAAAGTCAGGAAACAACAGATGCTGGAGAGGATGGGGAGAAATAGGAACACTTTTACACTGTTGGTGGGAGTGTAAATTAGGTCAACCATTGTGGAAGACAGTGTGGTGATTCCTCAAGGATCTAGAACTAGAAATATCATTTGACCTAGCAATCCCATTACTGGGTACATACCCAAAGGATTAAAAATCATTCTACTATAAAGACACATGCACACGTATGTTTATTGTGGCATTGTTCACAATAGCAAAAACTTAGAACCAACCCAAATGTCCATCAATGATAGACTGGATAAAGAAAATGTGGCACATATACACCATGGAATATTAAGCAGCCATAAAAAAGGATGAGTTTGTGTCCTTTGCAGGGACTCGGGCGAAGCTGGAAAACATCATTCTCAACAAACTACCACAAGAACAGAAAACCAAACACCGCATGTTCTCACTCATGAATGGGAGTTGAACAAAGAAAACAAATGGACACAGAGAGGGGAACATCACACACTGGGGTCTGTCGGAGGGTGGTGGGCTAGGGGAGGGATAGCATTAGAAGAGATACCTAATGTAGATCATGGTTGATGGGTGCAGCAAACCACCATGGCACGTGTATACCTATGTAACAAATCTGCACGTTCTGTACATGTACCCCAGAACTTAAAGTATAAAATATATATATATGTAATCTAATATATCAATTTTTTCTGTATGTCTATAAAATTTGCATTTTAAGTAATCATTTTCTATCCCAAAGTTATGCTGATATTCTCCTTATATTGCCTTCTAAAATTATCAAAATTTTGCCTTTCAAAATTAGGTTGTAATATACCTGGAATTGAGTTCTGTGCGTATTCTGAAGGACAGTCTGACTTAACTTTTCTCCATAAAAATTGAACCAATTGTTTTAACACAATTTGTTGAAAAGCCTTTCATTGAAAGCCTCTTTCATGGAACTATAATGCTAGCTCTGTCATAAATCAAATTTTTTCATTTGATTTATGATATGAAAATTATATGCATTTGATATGCATTTTTTTTCTCTAATGATACTCAGTATCATTAGATACATAAGAGTATATAAATAATACTCTTAATTATATAATTTTGTAGTAATTCTTGGTATCTGATTAGGCAAATACCCACTTCCTACCCTGTTTTTTTAAATTTTTAAATCTGGAGGTGTTTTGGATATTCTTGTTCATTTGTGCTTCTACCTATATTTTTCAATTAACTTGTCATGTATGAAAAAATAAAAGGCAAAACTTTTTATCCTTAAATCAGTTTGGGCAGGTTTGCAGTTTTTTCTTGTATCATAACTTCCAATCTATGAATATGATCTATTTTTTCACCAATTTATGGCTTCTTCCAATAACATTTTATATTGTCTTTTTAGAGGCCTTGTGTATCCTTTGTTTAGATTCATGTCTAGGTATTTAATATTTTTGATGCTGTTATAAATGATATTTTTAAATATATATACATTTTTATTTCACATAGAAAATTTTAATGGATTTTTTAAATGTAGATTTGTATTCAGTAAACCTGTTAAAATCTCTTAGAATTTCTAAGAGTTTATGTATTATACAATTTGATTTTCTTTTTTTTTTCTGGAGACAGAGTTTCGCTCTTGTGGCCCAGGCTGGAGTGCAGTGGCATGATCTCAGCTCACTGCAACCTCCGGCTCCCTGGTTCAAGCAATTCTCCTGTCTCAGCCTCCTGAGTAGCTGGGATTACGGGTGCCCACCACCATGCCCAGCTAATTTTTGGCATTTTTAGTACAGACAGGGTTTCACCATGTTGGCCAGGCTGGTCTCAAACTCCTGACCTCAGGTGATCCGACTGCCCTGGCCTCCCGAAGTGCTGGCATTACAGGCGTGAGCCACCATGCCCGGCCTATTCTGTTGGATTTTCTATGCAATTGTATTATAACTCATCATAAAGATAGTTTTATTTCTTTTCCACAATCTTTACAGGTGTAATTTTTTTCTATGCCTTGCTGCACGCTTTATGATTTCCAGTATTTGCACTACTCTGGCTTTTGGTCTTTGCTCTTGCATCAGCCTTTCATAATTGGGTATGTTTGTTGTAAGTTTTCTGTAGATAATCTTTATGAGGTTAAGAAATTTGCCTTTATTTCTAGTTTATTGAGATTTTATTATAAATCAATATTAAATTTTATCAAATTTTCTCCATTACATTTCTACTGAGATGATCACATGATTATTAAAATTTATTATATAGATTTATTATTTTGATATTTAAAAATCAGGTTTATTGAGGCATAATTTATATATAAAATTTGCCCTATTAGAGTATACAGTCCAGTAAGTTTTGGTAAATGTATGCAAATAACACAATAAACAGATTTAGAACTTTTCTATCACCACAAAAAGTTTCTCAGGGCCCTTTGCAGTTAATACACACCTTCTCTCCAGCCCCAGGAAACCATGGATCTGCTTTTTGTTACTGTAGTCTTTCCTTTACTTTGATTTTTTTGAGTGGTAAGCCAACCTTACATTTCTGAGTTAACTTGGTCATGATATCTTTTATAAACACTAATGAATTTAGTATGATTGGCTGATGCCTTTGCTTTCCTGTACTGTCCTTGCCTGGTTGGTACAAGGATTATATAATACTTATAAAGTGAGTTGAAGACAGTTTCCTCTTTTCACCAGCTGGAATAATTTATGTATTATTGAAATTAATTGTTCCTTAAATACTTGGCAGAATTCACCATAAAGGTACTTAATTCCAGACCTTTTGGAGGAAGATAAAATACTGATTTTTTTAAATCATTATTTTATTTTTGTAATACAGCTTATTTTTTCCAGAAACTTCTACTTTTCATTTACATCTTCAAGTCAGATTAAAGTTGTATTAATAACCCCTTATTATTTAAATCTCAGCAGAATGTGAAGTTATGTTCCCCCTTTCTATCCTTTTTTTCCCCCAGATATTTTTCTGTTACCTGTTTTAAATTTAATTCCATTGTGGTCAGAGATAATACTTTGTATAACTTGCATTCTTTTATGTATATTGAGACTTGTTATAAGGCACAGAGTATGGTCTATCTTGGTAATCATTCCTGGCACACTTAAAAATAATGTGGTTTCTGCTATTGTTTAGTGGAATGTTCTGTAACTGTCAATTAGGTCAAGTTAGTTGACAGTGTTGTTCAAGTCTTTTATATTATTACTGATTTTCTTTCTACTCATTCTATCAATTAGAGAAAGGTGTCAATATTTCCAGTTATAATCATGGATATGTCTACTTTTACTTTCAGTTAGAAATTTCTAGCTGAAATTATCTCTTTCCACTTTCAGTTAGTGTTAGCTTGCTATATCTTTTTCCATCCTCCTTCTTTTAACCAGTGTATCTTTATATTGACATTACCTATATGATTTATATTATATTATGTTACTATATCTTGTACGCAGCATTTATTTGGATCTTTTTTATCCAATCTGATGACCTTTGCTTTTTAATTAATGTATTTAGATCATTTACATTTACTGTGATTATTAATATGTATTAAGTTCAAATCTACCACTTTGGTATTGAATAATTGTCCCACTTGTTCTTCGTTTCAAAAAAAACATTTTTTACCTTCTTTTGTATTGACTGTTTTAAAATTCTATTTCATCTTCTTTGTTTGCTTATTAGCTATAACTTTATTTTGCTAATTTAGTGGTTGCTTTAGGGTTTATAGTAAACATCTTCAACTTATCACAGTCTATGTTCTAGTCATATTGTATTATTTTACACATAGTATAAAAACTTTATTGTAGTATACTTTCATTTTCCTCCAGTAATTGTGCTATTCTTGTCATCCATTTTGCTTCTACATATTATAAACTAGACACGATTTTGTAATATTTTTGTTTAAACAATATTTTATTTAAACTTAATAATAAATAATAAAAATATATACTAACCACATAGTTATAATTTCTAGTGTTGTTCATTTCTTTGTGTAGATCCATATTTCCATCTGATATCATTTTCTTTCTGCCTGCAGGTGCTGGTGATGAATTTTTTCAGCTTTTGTATATTTAAAAAACTTATTTTATTTTTGAAAATATTTTTTGTTAGGTATGAAATTCTATGTTGACTTTTTTTCTCTTCCAGTATTTTAAGAATGTTATTCCATTATCTTCTTGCTGGCATTATTTCCAGAGGAAGAAAAATCTTTAAGTTTTTCTGTTTTTACAGACTTTGAGTAATTTTACTACATTCTACTTTGGTGTGGTTTTCTTCATGTTCCTTCTGCTTGAAGTTCATCGAGATTCTTCAATCTGTGAATTTATAGTTTTTTATCTACTTGAAAAAGTTTTAGCCATTATTTCTTTAAAAAGTTATTGTCTCATCTTTCCCCTTTGAAAACTTCAATTACAGATATATTAGGTCATTTGATGTCCCACACATCAATGATGCTCTGTTGCTTTTGTTATTTTCTCTTGTTTTGAGTCATTTTTTCTTCTGTGTTTTACTTCAGATAGTTTATCTTGTGATGTCTTTAAGTCACCAACGTTTCCTTTTGCAATGTTTAATCTTTTGATTGTTTGATTTTTTTTCCTTCTCACGATGGTTCATATTTTCCTGCTTCTTTAAATGCCTGATAATTTTTATTGGATGCTAGACATTGTGTATTTTATCTTGTTGAGCTCTGGATACTTTCTGCTTTCTTTTGAATATCTTGAGCTTTTTTTCTGGGATACAATTGTGTTATCTGGAGACAGTTTGATCCTTTTAGGTCTGGATTTTAAGATTTGTTAAAAAGGACCAGAACAGTGTTCAGTCTAGTGCTAATTATTCAAACTACTGAGATAAATCCCTTCTAAATATTCTACCCAATACTAGGTGAATTACATTTTTTTAGTTTGATGATGAGTACAGACACCATTATCTGCCTTATGTGAGTTCCAGACACTGCTCCTTCCAAGTCTTTAGGGAAGTTATTTCCCCAACTTTGAGTAATTTCTTCACAAACATGCTCTGATTACTGCTCTGTTGAATAAATAAAGGGAAATCTCTACAGCTCTCTTGAGTTCTCTCTGTGTGCAACTGCCCTCTCTAGTATGCTTCCCAGTAAACTCCAGCCACTTTTATATATTCATATTTTTGGCTTTGACCTCTCAACTTGGTGACCCTACTATGATCTCCAACCCCAGACATGGCCTGGAATCTCTTGGAAAGCAGAACTGTGAAACAATCCTGCCTAACCTGATTTATTTCCTTTTCTCTCATAGATCATTGTGTTTCATTGCTGATGTCCAATGTATTGAAAACCATTATTTCACATATTTTTTTCTGTTTTGTTTGCTTCAGGTTGATACTGAGATCTTGTTCCTGATCTTCCATTTTTGCAAAGACTGAAGGTTCAATCTATTTTTTAGACCATTACTTTTGTTCTGTCA